TCTTATCTGGTCTACTCTTTGCATTTACAATGACGATCACAAATCTCAAGAACATGCACTTGATCTCGTAGACGTAAATTTTTATAAACTTTTTATTGTTCTGAAACATACCGTTTGTCGCCTTAACTAAGCCCACGACATCTTGTAAAATATTCAAATAAAAATAATCACACATCCTGAAATAATGTAATGAGATAATATTTAATTTAAATTAAACTGCTTTTGTAATAACTAATTGTCACCATTCAACAATAATCTTAATAAATCTGAGGAATTATTTTTTTTTTAAATGTCTAAACATTTGACGGGAATTTGTGTTTAAGAAATCAATATAATCCACGCTATCTTAACAGACAAGAAATGCCTCATTAAATATATATATATATATATATATATCAATCAGCAGCGAGTGAGACACGCGTCTCAAGTACTAGTTGTTGACCTTTTAGTAGACTTTTGGGGCAAGTTTAGTTGTCATTGTTTCATCGATAATTGAAGCTTCTCTTGATAAGAAAGGAGAATATGCTAAACATGTGTGCACGTTCCAAGACGCCCACGTTAGGCACCCTGTCCTGCCAACGAATGCGCAAAATGCGACGCAGACATCTTTGATGGAAGCTGTTGAGATTCCGCGCCTGACTGGTATATGTGGTTCACATTCACTACCATATAGGAGCGTGCTAAGCACGCATGCCTGATAGACACTTATTTTTGTTTCATCAGTTAGAGTGAGATTATTCCACACCCACCAATTCAGTTTAGTCATAGTTGCTGCTGCTTTTGCAATCCTGATATTGATCTCTTCATCAACGGGGAGAGAACTAGAAATATTGGATCCCAGGTATATGAAATGATCAACAACCGAAAGATTATGACCCTCAATAGATATGATTGGAGGGGACGGTGCCTCTTGCATCATTACATGAGTTTTCTGTAGACTAATTGAAAGACCAAACTCTTTACAAGCATGTGATAGGCGATTAACCAGCCCCTGCAGACCTTCTTCTGTGTGAGATGTTAAGGCGGCATCGTCAGTGAACAGCATTTCACGAATCATCACATTTTTTTACTTTGGTCTTTGCACAAAGGCGGGCGATATTGGACTGCCTGATTAAATTATACATACATGAGTTCATAGCATATCATATTTTACAGGTTTATTCGTAGTTTGATTTCAATCTCGTCTCTCGTCATTCTAACTTTGGTCATAGAAACCTTGTGCAATATTATTTATTGAACCTACTTTGTTGCTTAACAATATCCATACGATACATTTTTGCATGTCAAGCGTAGCAGAAAAACTATTCCATTTTTTACTTTAAAATAGCAATAGGATTTTGAAATTGAAATCAAATCCGTTGTATCATATCATTTCTTTTGTAACATTACTTAATTATTTATTGAAGAACACATTTACCATTAAATTCGGCAAAATAAAATAGAATTCATTCAAGGTCGTAACATTTTTCTTCAATGGTTAACATGACAAACTGTTCTTTTAAAAATAGTTTTAAAATGTGTTTCTTGCATCAAAAGGAATTTTCTTATGAAAGCTTTCCCAAGGTGTGAAAATGCACACCTAATTTACAAAATGACTTAGCAAATTTAATATTTTTTAAATTTTAGCATCTCAAAGTGAAAGTATTAGATGATGCCATCCTTTGGAATATTACTGTAAAAGTCATTTGTGTTGTGGAAGACTTCCTGAATCCCATAATTCTTTTGTTTCCGCAAGCATGTAGAGCTGAAATTTTGGACACAATTTAGTTTCGCGATTTTTCTTTAAATGTATTAATTTTTGAATCACTGATATCCTCTAAATTTCTTTATCATTAACATTTTTAACAAATATAATAGTAGGCATTGATTGTTGGATTCAAAAAAATTATTTTTTTAAAAAAGAGGCGACCTAAGTAACCATGTTGCATTTGCAGAGAATACAGTCCAATACCTTGAAATGATGGAAAGGGATTTTTGAGCCATGTACGCATTCAAGTTTAAGAATAGGACTCAAAAGTAAATGAGGTCGATTAAAAACGGAATATCAGTTTATAGATTTGAATTTCAATAACTTATCTTTAACTCTTAACATAGAATTAAAAAGGTTTCTAAAAATATGTTTTTAACAATGAGACCAATTTGTTATTCTTTGCTCTAAGGCATTGATCTGAGTAGCTGCTTTAGGGTTAATGGGTCATAACAAACCTAAAAGCCCTTTACTATCTTTATATAATAAAATGTAATGAAGAATTTTGAGTCTGGGGCCTCCTGATGTCGTCGGTCAAAAGCGTTAGTGACATAACGACAAGAATATTCAAGTGGTACAAATATATGAAAGAAACATGAAAGACAACGCCTAGATCTATGTCAATTTTCCAAAAAACTTTTATGTAGCATGGACAGAAACATTAAATTTCAATGATAAGTCATTATCAAATACAAAAGTTTATAAATAAAAATTATTCCCAAATGTTAAAAGTATTCTTTAACTAAAAAAATGAAAGCAACGTCTCATTGCACAGGGTGCTGGGTCTAAACTGAGTCAATCCAAAGCTTGAGATCTGGAGTATGTTAAACATTTGACCTAAAGTCAAAATACTGCTTTGGTTATTGTATAGTATTTGGATGCGTCTAGGCTGCTATGGTTGGCACCACGTCATGCTACTGGATGTCTGCTGGTACTAAGAGTACTTAAGTGACGGATGCAGATTGTGTTGACGGAAACGAAGAACAAACTCCAACGCCAAGTTAATAATAATGAAATGTTTATTTGCACTGTAGGCCTACATCTGTTCACAAGTAGTAGGCTAGGATTTGTATATACATAAATAATGAAAGTGTCCTTGGCAGACTAGTGCCTGCTCAAAGGACTGTCTCTCTATCCAAATACGCCCCAAGTAAAAAAAAAACCTCAAACTTAGGACATCTCTAAAATCGTTCTCTCTGATCTCTTGATAACTATCGTTCTATAAAATCACTCATTCTAAAACGTTCACACATATTTCAACCTAATCATTCTGCATCGCTCATCTCTTTCAAACAATTAATCGCACATCCTTGAGTTATTACAGGAGCTTAAAGTCACTCACTTAACCTACTTATTGAATAGCCCAATAACACATTTCAAGTATGATTCCATGACCTTGGCAGTGGCTTCTAGCCAGCTCACACACAATCATAGATTAAAAGAACTGCCTCAACCGTTATTATCTCTAGAATCTCTCTAAATGTGGGCAATCTTAAACATAGTAAGAAACGTGAGATGTTAACAAGCTTTATTTCCAGGAAGAACTTTGAATGGGTTACAACTATTAAAAAATATGAAAAAATATCCAACATATTGAAAATCGACTTAATATTTAAAAAAATGATTAATTACACTTGAAGGAAAAATGAACAAATAATATTTGAGTTTTAAAATAATTATCATATGTTAATGTGTTACCAACTATTTAAACATTGCCCTTTCAAAAACGTTTGTGTAAATAAACTTCAATAAACAATATATTCCATTTTAATATTCAAGAGAAAATATTTTAGTCGCAGTCGACAACGAGAGCGCTTAAAGTCCTACAAAAATAATAAAAATAATCACTTTTAAAAGTTTCTTAGAAAATCCAACAAATATATTATGGATAGTGCTTTACAAAATTAATACAGTAGCGATATGCGACAAAAACTGTATGGGACTTGACATAATGTTTTTTTTTCAAATTCGTATAAGCTAAAGACAAAAGAAAAAAATGGATACAAATAACGGAAAAGCCATCAGTTTGTTATTGTGTCAGTAGTAAAAAAAAGTGGAATAAATTGCGCTGATTAGCCACCTACTTGTTACGAGAGGTATTATACGAGAAACCAAGATCACGGTCTAAAGCCCTGCAGTCCTCTCGACATGTGAAACGTGGACAGTCTACCAGCGTCACGCTAAGAAACTAGACCACTTTCATACAAACTGCCTCAGGAAACTCCTTGGCATCAGGTGGAATGACAAGGTGCCTGACATGGAGGTCCTCGCTAGAGCGAACTGACCTAGCATCTTCACCACCCTGATGCAAACTCAACTCCATTGGATGGGACACGTAGACCTTATGGAAGACAACCGGATTCCAATATTGCTATTCTTCGGTGAACTCACGCTAGTCAAGGGCTTCCAAGGAGATCAAAGAAAGCGTTACAAAGACTAAGTGAAAGCGGCACTAAATGCCTTCAGCATCAACTCTATTGAATTGGTGCAGGCAGCCCAGGACAGCCTCCTGAGTGTCTAGTACATTTTCCATCAATTGAGTCGCGTAGCTTAAGTTTGTCACGCTCCAGGCGAGTCACACGATCTAGCGGTGTTCAGTTCAGAAAAAAATATTAACACAATTCTCCTATTTCAATTCTCACTATATTTTTTTTTTTAAATTTACTGTTAACATCTCTTTTTTGTTTACAATAAAAAAAAATTTAAAAAAAATAAGCTTCTCTTTATAATCCAGATAGAATAACAGGCCGAACGGAGTAAGCTCCATTGAGCAAAAATAACGGTTCAACTGTATTTAATTATAGTTTGAAATGTAAAAAGTATAAGCATTCAATCTTTACACAAAAATTCAATAGGAATTAATAGGTTTATGTTTTCAAAGCAAAGAGATCAAAGGGTACAATTATAGAACCGCTGATTCGGTAAAGCAATAATTCGAGACAATTATAACTCTTCAATGTGTGTGGTTTCATTTTAATCTACTGAACAGTTATTTTCGTGACAACTTGCGTGTTCGTCTTGACTTGTAAAAGGACTTACTTCTAGAGTAAGTTACTTCTTTGGTTATTTCAGGTGAGAGGGTATTGAGAGGATTGTGTAGTAAGTAAAAGTCGTGTTGACTTGGTGTGACACAATTCACTGGCACAACGCGAGGGGAGCCCATTTGTCATCTTTGTTAATCATGTTAGCAACTGACAGAATTAAAATGATGCTTCTAATTGGTTTAATATATTTTACATGTTAAAATGTAGGAATACTTGTCACAGTTTGACAACAAAGACTAGTATAGGAGATAAACAAGTTGTCGAAGCTCCAGTAAGTATCACTATTCGATGTAAAGGTAAGAGTAATCTCATTTCTTATTTTCTTTACGTGTTTGATTACAATACTTAATTTTAAATATGTTTTATTGGTATATATTTATATATTGTTTCACAAGAAAGAGTCAATTTTCCGATTACGATTATCTAAAGCGTCTATTAGCTGAAAAGATCATTTACATTAGAGACCTGTGTTTAAATATGCACATAGTATGTTATTTTGTTATTTTTCCCTACATAGACATGTCGTCTGCTTCAGATTTAAACATGGTGCTGCTGGGTAAAACAGGTAATGGAAAAAGTTCGACCGGAAATACAATTTTGCGTCGTGACGTATTCCCCACCTCAGACAGGTCAACGTCCTTGACAAAGTTAGCAACACTGGAATGTTCCCAGTCTGAGTTAACGAGCTCCATCATCCATGTAGTAGACACCCCTGGACTCATGGACACTGATGACGACGATGCATTGTCAGTGATCGGTCAGGGGATGAGCTTGTGTCCTGATGGTTTTGACGCAGTTATTGTTGTGTTACGATATGGAAGCACATTAACAAGAGAGGAAGAGGGGTGTGTAAATATACTGAAACAACATTTGGGGCCCACATTTTTACAAGACTATGGTGTTATTATAATGACGCACGGAGACAGTTTCGACTTAAATAGAACTGCTATCAGTTTCTCAGATTGGTGCAGAGCAGAGAACCACAACGATAAGTTTGGACACCTTCTGACTGAATGTAGAGGGCGCTGTGTTCTATTTCACAACAAAGGAAACCAGTATGAGGAAAAGAGGGAAAGAAGCGTCGTTGCTCTGATTGACATTATAAGGACTCGAATTCGCAGACGTTACAGGTGTCAGAATTTCGATGCAGCCGTTGAAACAAGAAACATAATGCTGGAGAAAATCAATATGCCCGCTTTGCATAAGGTGGTACAAGAAAATATAAGCCTGATGGAAGAGTTACTACAAAAAGATATGAAATCTGAAACATTCTCGTTCGATAACATGAACAATCGTGCACAGGAACTGCATAAAGCCATCAATGACCTACCGGATTCCCCTGAGGTGAAGGTGCTGATAGTCAAGATTAAGCTAATTACAGATAAAATTGATTACTTAAAGAGAGAAACGGACAAACAAAAACGAAGCGAGACTCAAAAGCAAATGAAAAAGGATCTGAGAATAGTAAAAAATCCTCCCAGCAAATCCCCTGTGATTATCGCCAATGTCCAACTGATGTTCGCAAAGGTCGCCTACCCATTAGGAATAACGTTTACTTTGGGATTCGCTGCAGATTTCCTAAGAAATCTGGTCTTCGAAAAGAAAATTGTGTACGAAGTGGAAGTCAAGATGTTTGAAAAGAGAAACAAACGCTATGCTGAAGCGATGGAGCGATATTTAAAACTAGACAGTCTCAGCAGCAGCTAAAGTATTTAACACTGGTGCAAGGGAAACCTTCATTTCGAAATTGTATAGAGATTATTCTATGTTTTTTAATGAACCAAAATACATTTTTTTTAAAACTATACGCTCACAATTTTTTTTGAAGAGATGGCACCCTGGCTATAAGAGTGTACCACTTACAAAACCATTAACAATTAAATCGTGCTAAAAGTTTAAATAAAACATCACAATTTTCTGAAGATGCATTATTTTTTTTAAATATAGGTAGGGAAGGACATTATCCATTAAAATCTATTTAACATTTGTTTTTGTAGAAACCTCTAAAAAATTAATACCACTTTGTATAATATATTAATATTAAAATAAAAATTAATTTAAAAAAATAGATATTTCCCCCACTTGTTACTCTTCTCAGTTTTTTAAACACAGAAAGAAAAATAAGAAAGTCAAATATAATTAGATTTGGCATAACACATGATTAAATGTCAATTTATATGAATTCCTCAAAAAGATTTGACATGTTTTATCAATTTTTCTACCAACTTCACAGGATGATTCTTTTATAGCGATTAAATAATACCTAGTTTGTTTGGATTTCACTAAAAATTTTGACTATCAACATTGTTGGAATAATACGCTTTTTAAAAAAAAAAAGTTATTACTTTAAAAATATAAAAAAAATCTGTACAGCCAGAGTGGCAATATTGCATGGAACACCTTTTAGTTTTTTTAGACAAACATTTCCTGAAGTGCAGGTGATGTCAACATGATTATGGTGTTTACAAATTAAAACGAAATAAAATGTATAATTCTCTCTTAAATTATTACTTTTTTTTTGTTGTTTTTTGTAAACTATAGGCACTTAAAAAAACCTGGCACACTTGTGACATTCACATTAGATAAAAAGGCACATAGCCGAACATAACTTATGAAACATATTTTTAGTTTTTATAGTTTAAAGAAATCGTTCACGGCCCACAGTATCCGAATTTTTTTTTTTTTAAAGTGAATAATCAAGTGTAAATAATCAACATTAAAAAAATATTCCTTCTACTTCTAAATCTGATCCGAGACATAAAACTGTACAATAGCTACTGAGTGCACATTTGTTATTCCATTTAATAAAAATGTCCGGTTTTATAATAGCACATTAACAACGAAATAGAAACATAATGGGAAAATAAAGGCTGAAGTTTTCATTGAGTTTTAAAATGTCCGCATGTAACCCATCGAGTTAAATCCTGATTAAGTAAGTTCATTTCCCTTATGTCGAACACGGTGGCAGGTCAGGGGTGAAACCAAAATGAAATATTGCATATTTACAGAGCATGCACTGCTCGGTCTCACAGAATTTCATAAAAGTATGACCTATCACAGGTAAATTTTTAGACACGTGTAGCCAATCCAAAATGCATGCTATATTAGAAGTTCAAGGTCGATGCGACAGAAATAATGCGATCCTTCTAATTAGGTCTGAAAAACCCAGTTTTGCCAATGATTCAACCCCGAACGAATTGGTTGGTAACTTTTGAAAGTGACAGGACTCTCTCTCTCTCTCTCTCTCTCTCTCTCTCTCTCTCTCTCTCTCTCTCTCTCTCTCTCTCTCTCTCTCTCTCTCT